TTAGCCCATTTTTTCTTCTGGGGTTCAATCTTTCTGGATTTGCCGGAAGATGCTCTCTGTACATTCTAGGTGGCAGTCCCAGAGCAGAGGAAGCGAACTGGAAGAACAGCGGATAGCAAGGTGAAGTTCTAACAGTCAAGGACAGCTGTGCAGGTGTTGTGGGCTGGAATTGCATCCCTTCCCCTAAATTCCTAAGTTGCTGTCCTAACCCCCAGTACTTTGGGAGCATGACTGTATTTGGAGACAGGGCTTAAAAATGTTTATTTTTTAAAAATCTATTTTCTATTGGAGTATAATTCCTTTACACCGCTGTGTTAATTTGCGCTGTACAGAGAGGTGAATCTGCTGCATGCGTACATACCTCCTCTGCTCTGGAGCCCCCCTCCCACCCCTCTGGGTCACCACAGAGCGCTGAGCTGAGCTCCCTTGCTACAGCAGCTGGCCCTGAGCCATTTTACACCCGGTGCTCTGTGTATGTCTGTCTTGCTCTCCCAGTCCATCCCACTCTCTTCTTCTCCGTCTGTGTCCACAGGTCCGGTCTCTATAGGAGACAGGGCTTTTAAAGTGGTGATTAACATAAAGTGAGGTCACTGTGGGGGGGCCTTAATCCAGCCTGCCTGATGCCTTTCTGTGAAGAGGTGATTAGGATGCCGACACACACAGGGGGAGACCGTGAGGACATCGCAATATCCTAAGGACCCGCGTGGTGCCCACCTTCTTCCCCGACCCAGACACAGAGCTGAATCAGACCAGTCCTCACCCTCGGGTAGCTCGCAGTCCGGTCAGGTGTGTTGTTTTGTTGTTCAGTCGCTAAGTAGTGTCCAACTCTTTGCGACCCCGTGCACTGCAGCAGGCCAGGCTTCCCCGTCCTTCGCTATCTCTTGGAGTTAGCTCAGATTCACATCCATTGAGTCAGTGAGGCCATCCAAGCATCTCATCCTCTATTGCCCACTTCTCCTCTTGCCCTCAATCTTCCCCAGCATCAGGGTCTTTCCAATGAGTTGGCTCTTCGCATCAAGTGGCCAAAGTATTGGAGCTTCAGCTTCAGCATCAGTCCTTCCATGAATATTCAGGGTTGATTTCCTTGAGGATGGACTGGTTGGATCTCCTTGCAGTCCAAGGGACTCTCAAGAGTCTTCTCCAACACCACAGTTCAAAAGCATCAATTCTTCGGTGCTCAGCTTTCTTCATGGTTCACCTCTCACAACTACTGGAAAAAACCATAGCTTTGACTAGACAGACCTTTGTGGGCAAAGTGATATCTCTGCTTTTTAACATGCTGTGTGTAAAAGCCAGTAATAATCATGTAAATACCATGGGCCCCGGAGCAGGGAACCGGGTGCCCTGGGAGCCAGAGCGGAGGGTGTGCTAGTGACCGCGGGCTGCTGTGGCAGAGTGCTGCAGACTGGGTGGCCTAAAACGACTGAAACGCACGCTCGCTTGTGCCAGCGGAGGCCGGAGGTCTGCAGGCGAGCCGTCGCAGGCTGGGCTTCCCCGGAAGCTCTGGGGAGGGTCCCTTCTGTGTCCCCCAGTTCTGGGGCTCTGGGCGCCCTGCAGCTCCTGGTCGCATCCCTCCAGTCTCTGCCTGTCTCTTCACGTGGCTTCTCTGTTCCCTTGTCAAATCTCCTTCCATCATCTCCTCTTATGGGGACACTTGTCTTTGGGGTTAGAGGCCAGCTTCTCCCAAGGTGATCTCATCTTGGGATCCTTACATCAGTTATATCAGCAAAGACCCTTTTTCCAAATAAGGTCACATTCACAGGTTCTGGTAGACCTATCTTTTTTTTTAGGGAAGACTTAACCCACTACAGGGGGTGGGGGTTGTCGTGGCAGTCTGGAAAAGAATTTCCAGACACAGAGCATTTCATCAGGGAGTGAGTTTATTAAGAACAAAGAGCAGAGATAACGTGGGTGCTGCGAGCACAGCAGGCTGACCTCCCGACAGATCAGGAGAGCTGACCGTGAGAACGGCGGGCCGGCTCAAGCGAGAGCCGAGGCTTTTGCTGGGTTAGTAGTCAATTTTTGTAGCCTCAAGACAAAGGAGATTCCTGCTGGAAGGGTGGCATTAGGTGATTGCTTAGGTGAGTGCAGGGGTGGGCATTTTTGCCTAATATGGGGTCAGGAAATCTGCTGGTGATAATCGGGGGGCCTCTGGCAACGGTTACAAAGGGGGCTGTCAGCTTCAGAGGTGACCTTGGTTCTGGGCTCCACTTCTGTGGCCTTGATGCAAGGCCTCATACTGGTGGTCTTGGGATGGGCTCTCCACGAGGATGGGGGGACACCAAGAGAAACCTTCCTGGAGAGAGGAGCCTGGTTTCAGGGCTGAGTCTGAAGTTGTAGAGGAAATTTAAGAGAGTGATTTTGATTTTTGGCAGGTGCCACTTAGCAAATATGTTGGTCAAAAAGGTTTTAGGGGATTCCCTCGTGGTCCAGTGGTTAGGACTCTGTGCGCCTAATACCAAGGGCCCAGGTTTGATCCCTGATTAGGGAACTAAGATCCTGCAAGTTGCGGTACAGCCAAAAAAAGGTTTTAGTTGCTTCACTTTGGGATTCTTTGTCTCTTCACGAAACAGAGCTCTCAGACCTCCCACGGCCTTGACTCCGACTTCGGTGTCCTGGATCTTTCCCTGGCATCCTCGCCGAGCCTGGGACAAGCTGGAGGGCCTTAACTCATCCTCCCAGTGGTCCTGAGAAGTCGGTAGGGCAGGAGTTTCTATCAGTCCCATTTTGCAGATGGCACAACTGAGGCTCAGAGATGGGGAGGTGACTTGCTCGGGTGACGTAGGGAGTCTCCCCCACCACCCCACCACCTCCTCCCTGGTCCCCAAAGGGCACAAGTCGGAGATCACGGGGAATCTGGGAGCAGAGCCAGGACAGCTCGTCTGTCCCCTGGGCTCTTGGGGAGCCAAGGGCAGAAAGAGGGATGGTCTGGCCAGACTCACCTGCCCGCTTGGACTGTAATAGACAACAGCTTTGGCAAATGATTCCCAGCTGTGCCCTAGACCTCAGATCATCCTGAAGGCTGGGAACATAGGTTCCTTGAGGAGCCAAGAAAGGACGGCAAAGAGGTGTCCCAGGAGGGTGGAGCTGGGGTCCCTGGGGCAGCAGCAAGGGTGTGAACAGACACAGGAAGGAGCGCCCACTTCCTGGAAACAAGGCGGTGAGGAGCAGGCTGAGTCAGAGCAGCCCGAGTGTGAGGGTGTGTGCGGTGCTCAGTCCCTCCAGTCGTGCCCGACTCCTTGTGACCCCACGGACTAGCCCTCCAGGCTGCTCTGTCGGTGGGATTCTCCAGGCAAGGAAACTGGAGCGGGTTAGGGCTCCTTATATGCCCCTGTGCTCTGCAACAGCCTTACAAGGGTACAGTAGTTTCAGGTAAGAAAACTGAGGTTCAGAGAGGTGAAGCAACTTGCCCAAGGCCACACAGCTGGGAAATCTGACTCCAGAGCCTGACTTCCAAGGATCCCGGGTGAAAAGTCTCTTCGGTTCCCCCTGCTTCCCTGAGGAATTCAGAGTCCCAATCCTATTTCTCTGAGCTCTCCGAGTCTTTACTTTAACCCCTGAGAGCCCAGACTGTCATCACGTTCTTGATCCTCCCACGGAGCTGTCCACCCTGTTCCCCTTTGCTTTGCCGTCAAGGCCCCCACAAGCAGCTGCCAGTGGGAAATCATCCCTGGGATGCTGTATCAGCCCTGGACAGTGATGCTACCCACTGCCTCTGCTAGCGTGCCCTTCAGCGAACCCCTGCCCAGTGAGAAATGCCCTGGAGAATCCAGGCTAAGGGAACAACATTGCTCCCTAAGCTGCTTCCTCCTTCTCCATAAATGAACTTCCACCACGGATCACATTTCCCTTTGAGTCGGTGGGATTCTCCAGGCAAGGAAACTGGAGCGGGTTAGGGCTCCTTATATGCCCCTGTGCTCTGCAACAGCCTTACAAGGGTACAGTAGTTTCAGGTAAGAAAACTGAGGTTCAGAGAGGTGAAGCAACTTGCCCAAGGCCACACAGCTGGGAAATCTGACTCCAGAGCCTGACTTCCAAGGATCCCCGGTGAAAAGTCTCTTCGGTTCCCCCTGCTTCCCTGAGGAATTCAGAGTCCCAATCCCATTTCTCTGAGCTCTCCGAGTCTTTGCTTTAACCCCCTGAGAGCCCAAACTGTCATCACGTTCTTGATCCTCCCACGGAGCTGTCCACCCTGTTCCCCTTTGCTTTGCCGTCAAGGCCCCCACAAGCAGCTGCCAGTGGGAAATCACCCCCTGGGATGCTGTATCAGCCCTGGACAGTGATGCTACCCGCTGCCTCTGCCTGCGTGCCCTTCAGCGAACCCCTGCCCAGTGAGAAATGCCCTGGAGAATCCAGGCTAAGGGAACAACATTGCTCCCTAAGCTGCTTCCTCCTTCTCCATAAATGAACTTCCACCACGGATCACATTTCCCTTTGTGCTGTGGCCACAAGGACGCTCAGAGTCACACCTGCCGGTCAGAGGCCGCAAGCCCATTGACTCTGCTGGTCTGCAGTTTCTGCCTTGGTTCGGGTTGGCCTTGATGTCTCCATCTGGTTATACATTTTGTTGGTTATAGTTCCTTGTGATAGATAAATCAGTGCATACACCAACCCAAGCACTTTACCCAGCGTTTTAAAGGTGCAGTGAGTTCGTTGTTTGTTTATTCGTGCCTCCCCAACAAATGCAGTAGTGATAATGCTATTACTTTCAAGGTAAAGATAAGGAAGGGGAAGCTCACACAGTCAGCAGGGCTGACCGGATGTGCTGGGGTGTGGGTTCAGGGGAGACGGGGGTTGGAATGGAGGGTCTAGCTGTTGATCTGAATTCTTGAGGCTCCACCACTTCCCAGCTGGGTAACCCCGGGCCTATCTCAGCCTCTCTTGAGTCTCCGCTTCCTTCTCTGTAAAGCGGGGGTAACAGCGGTACATTTGTCTCCGGCGCTGGGTCCACCCGGATCTCTGGTCGAGAGCCAACTACTGCACCTTGCTCTGCCCTGCAGGTGTTTGCAGCTGTGTTCGGGGGCTGACTGGCCAGGGAGCCACCCTGGAGAGCTTTGGACATCATAACAGTGAAACGGTGAGGGGTTCTTGTGTCTGAACTCATCTCTCCAAATGGCAGCAGTGGGAGACCAGGATGAGGCAGGAGCAGTCGGCGCAGCTGTCCCTTGGGTTTTGGAAATCTGGTCAGAGTCAAGTTCAGGGCACCGTGCACCTCTTCATTACGCTTAGCATCACTGCGATTTTTCCGCAATTTTTCCACGATTTGAGGGTTTTTTTTTTTTTTTTGATGAGTGTTTGTCTCCCACTAGACTGTGAAGGAAAAGGGAGGGTCCCAGAGAGGCAGCAGAAACATGGTGGTCCAGGAGGTAAGCGTCAGCGTCTACCCTGACTCCTGGTCTGCCTCTTCTCAGCTGTATGCCCTTGGGCACATGACGTAAGCTCTCTGTGCCTCAATTTCCTCACCTGTAAACTGGGGTTTGTAACCACCTCATTGAGTTGTTATGAGAATGAAGGGATTTTGCCTACATCAACCCTTTAGAATAGTACCCAGTATATAGTAGGTGCCTGCGAGCTGTTTGTCAAATAAATAAAATAGCAAAGCCACCAGCTGGTCTTGCTCACAGCCAGGGAGGACATTGTCGGTCTCACTGGTGGTGATCAACCTCTTAAATCCAGTTACATGTTTTGTTGGTTATAGTTCCTTGTGATAGATGAATCGGTGCACACATCAACCCAAACACTTCACCCAGTGTTTTAAAGGTGCAGTGGTTTTTTTTGGTTCATTCCCCTCTGGCTACAAATGCCAGTAGCTCTCTCTCTTTTTTTTTAAATTTTGGCTGTGCTGGGTCTTCGTTGCTGTGTGGGCTTGTCTCTAGTTGGGGCGAATGGGCGCTACTCTCTATGTTGGTGCCCAGGCTTCTCATCGTGGTGGCTTCTCGCAGGCTCTAGGCTGCACGGGCTTCAGTAATTAGGACTTGCAGGCTCAGTGGTGGCAGCTCTCGGGTTCTAGAGCACAGGCCCATCAGTCGTGGTGGACAGGCTTAGTTGCTCCTCTGCATGTGGATCTTCCCTGATCAGGGATGGAGCCCACATCTCGGGCATCGGCAGGCAGATTCATTACCACTGAATCACCAGGGAAGCCCTTTAAAGCCAGTTCTAACCAAAGTTCCCCTCGCGCCCCCTGTCTCCCCTGGCAGAGAATGGAGGCTGAGGATTACAACGCCTCCTACGAGGACTACCCCGATGACCTGGACCCCATCGTGGTTTTGGAGGAGTTATCTCCCCTGGAAGGCAGAGTGGTCAGGATCTTCCTGGTGGTGATCTACAGCATTATCTGTCTCCTCGGGATCCTGGGCAACGGCTTGGTGATCATCATCATCACCTGCAAGATGAAGAGGACGGTGAACACCATCTGGTTCCTCAACCTGGCCGTGGCCGACTTCCTGTTCAACATCTTCCTCCCCATCCACATCGCCTACGCCGCCCTGGACTACCACTGGGTGTTTGGGACGGCTATGTGCAAGATCAGCAACTTCCTGCTCATCCACAACATGTTCACCAGCGTCTTCCTGCTGACCGTCATCAGCTTCGACCGCTGCGTCTCCGTGCTCCTCCCCGTCTGGTCCCAGAACCACCGCAGCGTCCGGCTCGCTTACACGGCCTGCCTGGTCATCTGGGTCCTGGCTTTCTTCCTGAGTTCCCCGTCCCTCGTCTTCCGGGACACGGCCCACGTGCACGGGAAGATATCCTGCTTTAACAACTTCAGCCTGTCGGCCGCCGGCTCCGCCCCGTGGCCCGCTCACCCCCAGGTGGACCCGGTGGGCTCCGGCCGGCACATGGTGGTGACCATCACCCGCTTCCTCTGTGGCTTCCTGGTGCCGGGTCTCATCACCACCGCCTGCTACTTCACCATCGTCTACAAGCTGCAGCGCAGCCGCCTGGCCAAGACCAAGAAGCCCTTCAAGATCATCCTGACCATCATCATCACCTTCTTCCTCTGCTGGTGCCCCTACCACACGTTCTACCTCCTGGAGCTCCGTCGCGGCTCCGTGCCTCCCTCCGTCTTCAGCCTGGGCGTGCCCCTGGCCACCGCCATCGCCATCGCCAACAGCTGCATGAACCCCATCCTGTACGTCTTCATGGGTCAGGACTTCAAGAAGTTCAGGGTGGCGCTCTTCTCCCGTCTGGTCAATGCGCTGAGTGAGGACACAGGCCACTCCTCCTACCCCAGCCACAGGAGCTTTACCAAGATGTCATCCATGAACGAGAGGGAGACCGGCATGCTCTGAGCCTCGCCTGGAGACCCCCCAGTGGATGCTCCCAACCTTGGAGGCTCAAAGCTACGCCTTCTGGACACCACAACAAGAACCTCTTGGGCAACCCACAAATGCCCACTATTTTCCGTGGGGCTGAGCAGTCTTTTTGAGCTGGGAATCCAGGGTTTGGAAGGCCTTTCCTCCAGGGGCGTGGTGGACACAGCACGCTGCGGTACTTAGGCTTGGACCAGTATCCTCTGCATCTTCGGAGACTTGCCTTGACCAACGCAAAGCAAAAAAAAGGGAGAATTTTCTAAAGCACTGGCATGAACTGGGATGCGCATAAGACAGAGGGATTCAGTTACCTACCCGAGCACTTTCCCAGAATGACACAGACAGTTTGCAAGGTCTGTTCCTGGTATGAGGAGAGGAGGTCAGAGCAAAGCCAGTGTGATGTAGGTCACGCTTTCGCCACAGAGCCCTATATTGATGGCTGGCCAGAAATCCTGCTCTTAATACATTCTTCGGGTCTAGGGCATGTTGGAATGCACAGACCTCCTCCAGGTCACCTGGGAAGAGAAGGTGACACAAGAACACAGAAACTCCTGCGGCCACGCGTTTGACTTTTAGATCATCTGGAAAGAGAGACCACAGGTCCTGAGGGGACCATGGGGCTTTTTAATGGGTTCAAGAGAAGCAGGGCTACAGTGAAGACTTGGGTCTTGTGCGGGAAGGAATGGAGAAAGAAAAGACCTTTCAGAAGCTGTGTGAGAGGAAACAGCTCACTCTAGGACCCTCCAGGGTAATGTTGCTTCAGGCCGTAGCTGTGTTGGGGGGGGGGGGTCACGCTGCCAGCCCCTTGCCCCGAGCCCTGTCCTCACTTTGCATTTGTTTCCCTGGGGCTGGTTTGAGGTGGGCAGCCCCCTACTCACTCCATCACAGCAACTCCTCCCTCTTTCCTGACCCACTGACTCTGGCTGGAGATGCTCGGANACTTGAACCTATGTCTCTCTGGCTCAAAGAAGGTTGCAGAGGCTTAGGGTTTTGAGCATTCATATATGCATATCCCTCAGCAGATTCTTGTTAACATCTTAAGGGCTTTAAAGGCAGCTATGCAAATAGTTTTCAAAAATGATCCAAAGTGGCAGAGAAAATGCACTTGGCTCCCAGCTCCCTTGGCACCCGTTCACACCCACCCACCCTGGCTCCCACCTCCTGTGTCCACACACACCCGTCCCCACCGCCCCACCCCACCCAGCTCTCCAGGGAGGGCGGCAGGGAGGGAGGCCTGAAGGGAGGACCCTTTGGCCTCCGAGTGTCCATATCCCGTTCTCTTCCAAGTTTCTTTGTTGTGAAGCCATTTCTCCAACAAGATGCAATGAACAGATGTAACGTCTACACAGAGCCGGACGAGTTCCCGAGGCCACGGGCTGTTTGGAATCGCACCTCATTTAGAGACAAACTATTTCTTCACTCTGTTGGGTCATTGTGCTTGTGAAAGGCAGCTCTGAGTTGACCCTACTGGGGCCTCCAGTTGCTTCAAGCAGTCTGAAATTAGCTTGAGTGGAGGGAGCTTTCAATATTGCCCAGAGGCCCCTGTCACCCACCCCCCACCCACCCAACTTCACAGGCGAAGAATCCAGGGCACGAGATGGAATGAGAGGGGTTCCAGGCCCCAGAGACAGTCACCAGCCACTTGGGGGAGGACCACGCTATTTGCTGGGGCTCAGTTTCTCATTCCTTCTGGGCTGCGTGCAGGCCAGGCCAGGCCGGGGGAGCCAGGAAATCATTTTGTCTTTGGAAAAGCTGATGAACAGGAGCAAAATGAAAACCAGCTGTGTTCCTCCTTGGAGCCAGGCTTCGCTCTTTCTGGCTGTCCCACCAGTCCTCCTGTTCTGACCGTCAAATGCTCACGTGCAGCCGTGACAGCCTTTTCAGTCTTGTCCCCACAGCCTCTTCTGAGGGTCCCCCCAGGTCGCATGTTCAAAGGCCCTGCGGTTCACACAGCACATTCACCTGAATTGCTCCACAGGCGGCCAACACGCTGTGTGCCCGAGAGCCTTCCCTCCGGGGCTAGGACCCGCCAATGGGTCCTGCAGCGCTGCCTCCTGTGTGGGGTGGGGTGGGTGGAGGGGGTACGGGGTTGTGGGCAGAGGGACAAAAAGAGAAGATGCTGTTTGAGGGTCGGGGGAGAGGGAGGGAGGAGAGAAGTGAGAAGGAAAACAATGATAAAGAAAAGGGATCTGGCATTTATTAAGCATCTACCATGTATCCGGCCCAGAATCTCATCAAAGCCTCAAAAACAGCCCTGTAAGAAGAGGACCATCAGATGCGGGTGGGGGGTGCAGAAAGGGAGGTTTGGCCTGTGGCCCCCACTTGTTGAGAGTCACACAGTGGTAAACAGAACTGGGTCTGCTGCCCGAGAGAGTTCCCAGCTTCTTCAGCCCTTGGGAGGATGGAGAGGGAGGGGGAGGGAGAGAGGAGGAACAGAAACAAGAGGGAGGGTCTCAGAAGGGGAGTCGGACCCAGGCTCTGGCCGAGGGAGGAGTTTGCCTTAAGCTGGACCCCAGGGTCAGCGTGGAAAGCAGAGCCCAGGATGGATGGGAGAAGAGAGAATCCAATCATGAGAGCCTCACGGGCTGGTCAGTCTCATCCCCATCCAAGTCCTCCCCGTTTCACAGAAGAGGGAACTGAGCTTGCAAGAGCTGCCCTTGGAGAAATCTGCAAAAGGAGGTGTGCTGGCTTGGATGGTGTGGTCAGTGATTTCCCAGCTCCTGGTCCCGGCCTCCCTCTCCGTTCCTCCCGGACATGCTTTGGTGCTCTGGCTTTGGAGAATTGCTCCTGGGGCTGGGATCCAGGACAAGGGGACCACGAAATAATTCATTAGGGGGTTTGCTTGCTTCCTTTCTGAAGATAATGTTTCTCTTGAATAAACAGATCGAAGCAAGCGTGAGGACTCTCATTGCTGGAGGGTCCTGCCCCTTGCCTCCCCCACCCACCTCGTGGAACGCCAGCTGAGGCTCAGAGAGGTGAAGTGTGCTGTCCAGAGTCACACGGCTATGTTGTGGGATGGCAGGAGAACCCCTGCAACTCCCAACCTCCCATTCCCCAAAGTTTGGACCACAAGAAATCCGTATCTTAAAAAAATTCCCTCCGCTCATGTAATTTTCCTAGGAACCAAGGATATAAGACAGACAGTGACTTACCCAAGACAATACAGCCAGCCGTGGCAGAAAGGGGACTAAAAGCTGGGACTCCTTGCAAGTCTGTGCATTGGCCACCCAAGGACAGACACTCTCATCTGCACATTCATCCAGCCATCCTTTCATGCACCCATCCATTTCCTTAACCGTCTATGTGTAAGTCCACCCACTCACCCACTCCACAAGCATCCCTCTAATACCCCTCTTTGCTGGGCCTTGTGGTCAACACTGGGGCTTGGGGATGGTCAGGACATACACAGTCCTGTCCTCTTAGCTCATTCATTGGACAATGGTACCAGCCAATTAAAAAAATAAACCCCAAACAGAAAACAATCATAGTAAGTGTCACCCATATATTATAGAGGGAGGTGACCCTGTCCAAGACCAGGAAACTTCCCCAGGGGCGGTACACGTGTGCTCAGTCATGTCTGACTCTTTTTGACCCCATGGACTGTAACCTGCCAGGCTCCTCTGTGGAATTCTTCAGGTAAGAATACTGGAGTGTGGGTTGCTATTTCCTCCTCCAGGGGATCTTCCCCACCCAGGGGTCGAACCCACATCTCCTGAATTGGCAGGTGGGTTCTTTGCTGCTGAGCCCCGGGGCAAGAGACACCTGAGATTCGAAGGATGGCTAGGTGCTGACACAGTGGGGAGGTGCTGGAGAGGGTGCTGCAGGTGGAGGAAATGGCACTGAAGGGGGAGGGAGCAGGGTGACTTTGGAGGATTGAAATGCGGGTGGGGGATGCAGCCAAGTGAGTACACTGGGCATCGGCCAGGTAGGACGGAGAGGAGGCAGGGCCAGACTGTGGGATGGGGGAGGGGAAGCCATGTGTAAAGGGGTGACTCAGATCTATTTAAAGGATGTCTGGGACCTCCCTGGGGGTCCGGTAGTTAAGACCTGGTGCTTCCAATGCAGGGGCGTGGGTCCCGTCCCTGGTGTGGGAACTAAGATCCCGATTGCCACATAATGCAGCCAAAAAGAAAAGGATGAAAGGAGGCCTGATGCCCGGGGCTGTCCTGGAGGACTAGTTAGAGAGGGGCAGGAGGGGAAGCCGGAGGCTGCTGCCGCATCCAGGTGAATGCCCTGGTGTCTGGACTGTGGGAGCCAAAGGGGAGCCTGAGAGAAGCCGACTGCTCCAGAGATAGTTAAAAGCGACCCAAGCTTCCTCGGGGGAGCGGTTAGTGGGAAACCAACCCAGAGCTCATTTCAGCTGCATAGAGGCCTTGGTGTGTTGCTTTATTGACGGAAATTAATTGTAAATATTATTCAAATTTGCCTCCCAATGCACAATTATATTTCTCAGGGGAGCCCTCTGAGCATATAATAAGGCCCTATAAATAATACATATATTAACCTAAGAGGAACGAAGGCATATTAATGTAGCAATTGTGGGTGGTGGCTGCGGGGAATTTAACAGACTAGATGCCAAGTGCTTGAACTTGGGGTTTCACCTCGGAGGTCACCTAGAATCCTCCAGGCACCCACCAAGCACTTTCCTCTCATCATTTCACTGAATCTTACAGAGATCTTTGTGGTAAGGGCCATTTCTATATCCATCTACAGATGAGGAAATTGAGGTTCAGAGAGGTGAAGTGACTTGCCCAGTGTCACTCAGCTAGTAAGTGATAGAGCTAGAATTCAAACCCCAGTCTCTTTGACCCTAAAGCAACTTGTAAATATAAATTGTCCTCTGAAGAGACTCCTCCCTGGAGAAGGATGGTAAGCATGTGCACCTTCTCCAGTGTCAGATTTTGGGGAGATGAGAGGGAGGAATCTGAGAGGTTGCTTTTTCATTTGGCGGAAGAAAATGTTGTCTGGGTGGACTTGCCACTTCCTCCTGACCCTGAGAATCTTAGGGTTGTTGAGTTTGCAGGAAACTCGACTTTATCAGGTTCATCCCTTCCCATCCCCCCATTTTGCAGATGATGAAACTGAGGCTTCTTTGTAATAAGACTGGAGACCTCCTGTCTTACCCACTGCTGAGAGATGAGAAATGCATGGAAATGCTTACACGAGTCACTTTTAAATCACCATCATTCTAGAGACCTGGGCCTTCACCACACCGCCTTCTTCACTTCTTGGTCTGTTGACAAGGGCTTTGGTGCTGCTCTGCCCTGAAGGACCCCTGCCTAGGATCTGGGAGTCACTTGGAATTTCCAGTGAGTCTTCCTTCCTGGGGAGGTAGGAGATCTTGGAAAAACCTGGTACAGGGCAGAGACGTGCTATGCTTGAATCATAAACTGTACCTTTCAAAATTGTCCTGGGTGTAGGTGAGAGGGCTTCCCAGGTGGCGCTAGTGGTAAAGAACCCGCCTGCCAATGCAGGAGACATAAGAGATGCAAGTTCGATCCCTGGGTTGGGAAGATCCCACAGGAAGGCATGGAAACCCACTCCAGCACTCTTGCCTGGAGAATCCCATGGACAGAGGAGCCTGGCGGGCTAGAGTCCACGGGTCACAAAGAGTCAGACACGACTGAAGTGACTGAGCACACAGGCAGGCAGGTGAGAGATGCTCTTTCTTGATCCAGGTGGTGCTTCCATGGTTGTCTTCATATGAAAAACCCGTTAATCTGTCCATATGAGATTGACGCACTTCACAAGTGCACTGCACTTCACTAATTATCTCAATTAAAAGTTTTTAAAAATAAAAAAATTCATGGCACCTGCAGGAATGACTTCCCACTTACACTGGCACCCTGGGCAGACCCAGGTCTGGGGCCTTCCTTCTGATTCAAGGGAGCAACTCAGAGAGGGGTGGTTCTGAAGGGGTCCATCCGAAGAG